CTAGGATTGGTCTTTGTGAGTTTGACCTGACTTTGAGTTGGCGCCTTGACAAATACCCGATTGGTCCTTGACTTGATTTGATATGATTTGGTTGGCTCTTCAATTCGCCTCTTCCGCTAAAACATCCCTTTATCGTGTTCTCTAAGTTACCATTTTCGTCTGGTTGAGGAGAAAGTAGGAGAAACTTTGGCATTATAACAAAATTTTCTGTCGATTTCGTTCACACTTCACTTCTAACCCTTTCCCCGTTCTCACGCACTCGTCCGTAGTTAGAGATCTATACCATACATTAACCAATGCCATTTTTAAATCTAATACGAGATAACAGTTTCTCGCGTGTCGTTTTTGCATTACTTGGCAACTACACTGTTGATTTTGGCACGTGTGTGACTTGGAATGTGGGTTGACTGTTGCAAACCACCTGCTGGTGGTTTAATTTGTGTAAAAGCAGGTACAAAAGGAGATCGAGTGGTCTGTCAACGCCTAACCCAGACATACAAACGAGTGTGTCCCCTAACAAGTGCCACTAACTCCCAACCCAATAGGTAAGTGACCCTGACTGAAGCTAAGACAATCAATAAATTCAGAACGAAACAAATTTGAAAAAAATGGCGTGTATGGCTACAATGTAATATAGGAAATACATAATTTTTGCCATTTGCCTCGAAAATATGAGTTTTAAAGAATACTGACCTTTCGCAGAAGCATCTCTTACTTAATTGTCATGATAGCGTAGTGTGATAAATGCACAAATCCTACGTAGAACGGTCGCACACCCAGAGACGTCAGACTTTCCCTCCCTCTCCCCCCAGATTGCGTGTTGACGACGTGTGTCTGCTATAAATTGGTTTGCTTGCATGCAGAGGATGTGTGCTTAATGCCCCAAGACACGCCAAGACACAACCATCGCACCGATTAGACAGATATCAAAAAGGTCTCATGGTGATCACGATGGTTAAAAATCGATGGTTAAAAATCGATTTTTTTAGCACTAGTGAGTGATGCGGCGCTGGCCTCGCAGCCTGTTAAGCATTCACATTGTTACAATATTGGCAAGACGACGCCTAACCGTGGGAAGAGTGCATTGATTAACGGTCTAAAAATGGGATGGGGCCTCATGCATCCCAAGTTCACCCTAAATCAGGCAACGAAATGTTTAAAACCTTCGAATTTTCGTGTATGACCTTTGATTTGGCCCATCAAACTGGTGTATTCAAATCAATAGTAAAACTTGCGTGACTATTTAATGTTTTCTCGTTTCGTGATCCCCACCGCTCAGCTCGCAACCGCTTGGTAGAATTTGAGCAAAAAACCCAGATGTTTCTGCCGACTGCGGTGTCACTTTCCTTCAGGTATGCCTTGATTCACCAGCCCCGCCACACCCTGCCGCGCTCATAAAGTACCACGCCTTCAGGTTCTCACAATTAAGTTTACAAAAAAGAACCTGTAAAACGCATTACCAAACTTTGCCATTTTGGCTTGTTTTAGTGTCAAATTCTTGAGGTTGTGTCTCCAATAAAAAATTTAGTGGCGATTGCAGTTGTATCTCAAGTTTCTGACGATTGAGGCTACTCTCAATTCACACAACGAAATGTCATGAGGGAAGGAAATTTGCTCGAAACGGGTTTGGCAGATCGCAAACAATTTACACGACATCTCATTAATTCCACTGACCCACACAACGCCTTTCTAGATGCGTGCTAGTCCTGAATTCCTGAGTAGTAAAAGGTGTGGTTTTCCAAGTCCATCAAGTCGATGGTTCTCGCTCATGTCGTGTCTGCTACTAATTGAATTCGCATCAAATTAAAGCCCTATTTAGAATTCAGACAATCCACTTATTTCGTGTGTCACGCTGATAGCTACACATTCCTAGCGGGTAATTTTTTAAGGATATTTCGCTCAAACTTTCAGACATAACGCAAAACGCGACGTGTTTATCGTGTCAGAGTACCCAAATTACAGCAAACCTAATTCAAACGCCGCTGAATTTTTTGTGTTTCGTGAATGACTTTGTTTTGAAAAGAACAACTGACGTGAATAAGTGGGTTGGGATTGTTTGGACAAAAGATACGGAGCATTCATCACGCTAGACTGGGTACATTTTAAACTGGTTACCTGATGCAAGTTCTGTCTTGGTAAACACCTTCGTTGTTCATTTTAAACAAAGCTTACAAACATAAAAGGAACCGAATCTCAGCCGTGAACAGAAGAGTTTAGTCCACAGCGACTTTGGGTGAGAAACGTGACGAAGGGGGTAATTTCAACTAGTACTGACTTGCAATGGAAAAAAAGGATCTTCGTGAGTTAAGCAGGCGTGCAGGTGTGGGAAACAGCGGTCAACCTCGCTGCTGATGGGAAAAGGACCTGCTTTCTGAAAGCCAAGGCTAAAATTTTTGACTAGTGGACGGAATTTGGTGCCGCAACGAGCCAAGGCGAGGCTCAACACGCCGGGTGCATCAAACAGGCCCGTTGAGCTAATACACGCACGCGATTGGTCAGCAGTGCTCGTTCTGTTTAATTAACCTAGAGCCTAACCAATACACCGTCGCGTTGATTTAGCTCCTGCTGACCAATCCGGCTGCACCTATGTCACGCCATTCACCACCCAATCAGCAGAAGCACAGGTTTCTGCGCTTATTTCGTTTCTCGAACAGTGCCGCGCAGTCTAGCCAGCACGGTGGGCCCTTGACAGGCGGTAGTCATCACCTCCACGAGCACGGCTTCCGCTGGCTTCATCATCACCATCGCGGGTCGCCAGAGGCATCAGCCGCCAACACCGCCACCTCGAAAGCTCCCAACCTACTTCCGCCCCAGTTTCCAGGCTTCCAGCAGCACCAAACAGGGCATTTTGATAACTCGTCGGAATCGAGTATGGGGAACGTTCACCAGGTAGACACCTTTCTTGCTTCTTCTGCCTCTTCTATTTCAATTGGTGGTTGATGCCTCTCTTTTATCTCAACAGGCTTCTACAAGTTCCCTGGTAATAAGTTGTTTGTATGCTTTTGTATTTAACATTTTCGTAGCGATTAGCCATTTTTTGCATCATTTTAACCCTGCAAACAAGTTTTCCAACTTTGCTTCTACCCAATGCCGCTGTCTTTGCGTGTTAGCTTCTTTGCCTTCTACTCACGTACACCAAGGTCGCTTAAAGGCAGTTGTTCACTTGGCTAGATCTGAATGCTTGAATCGGGGCAAGACACAATCAATCTCTCCTTTTTTCAAGCACTTTTACTCAAGCCCCTGTCACTGTGTGAATTTCTCTCCTGCCAATCATTAAAGAAGTGACTAGTCTTCATTTGTCGTCGAGTGCTCAAGACGTCTCCTCCAATTTCCTCGTTGATTAAAACGAAAGCAGTTCTATACTCATTCAATCCCGGTTAAATTAAACTGATTTTCGGAGCTCTAAGTCGCTGGTGACTAAAAAAGTTCAAGAACGTCTTCTGCTGCCTGAGTTGTTGACATTGGTTAATTGATATTTGTGATTTTGCCTATGAAATCACCTCACGTCACCAGTCTAATTTCACTTAAATCCACAGGCTCCTTAATCCCCCTCTATACCTCGATTCATACTCTACTTTTGCCTCAAATCAGTGAGTGTATTGTGTAAACCACAATCTAATTTTAGTAGTTGGCCTTCCCCACAGTGAAAGTCATCAGTATCCCACCTCTTTGGGCCTGAAGGCGTCTGCCTTTGCGTCATTCCGATTGGTCGTCCGTTTTTTGGGGCATCACCGGTCCACACCACATGTAGGCGACCCCAATTTTCGACCAAAATTAACATAATTTGCCCCAAGTATTTTTAGAGCAAAATTTTCGTCGTTGTTTGTGGTGATTGGACCATTAGGCGAATCGGAGTGGTTGTCCTAGTGTACCAATGCTTACTTCTTTTAGTATTTTTGGCGTAGTACTAGCATGCAATTTCGTCTAGGATTCTCAGGTTTACTAGGGTGCGCATTTCATCAAATCAGTTCCTCGGGGCGTTAATTGTGGATAAAATTGAGTTTTTTTAGCCTGTAGAATGGCTCGCGTCACCTAATATACATGAATGCTCTTTTTTAAACCCCCACAGTCTCCACTTCTGTCAATTTCTGACCCTCTGCCTGCCTCCAGAAATCGATCCGGAGAACCGTTGGATGATTTTTTTCCGCCACCACTTGACGCGACTCGAGTTTTAAATATCGTAGAGTAGGAACGGACAATATTGTGTGGCTGATGTCTTATCCGGTTACCTGCCCATGCCTTAAGTCTATTTATCGCGACTGTTTCATCATTATTGCGGGGTGGGGCCTTTCACATTTTCTGTCGGGCTTTCATCCAACAAGTGGTGGGTTATTTAAAGTGTGAAGTCACCACGCCAGCGGGTGTGTGATTTAATACTCCATCTACTTAAATCGTTTGAGTCCAAACAAACTAGTGGTTGTGTTTTGTGCAACCGAACCCAAGTGGCGTTGCAACGGATCAGTCGATTTTCAAACTGCTTTGGCTTGCGTTCGCTCCCAAGGCTCACCAGGTGGCGGTTTTAATTAACTGCAATTTGAGCCACGTAATTTGTTTTACAAGTCACCCTATTTTACGCTAATCTAACTGCGTCTTGCTTCAATGCACAAAAGCAAAATGCTGTTAATTTTTTAACACGGAAAAAAGCGCCACAGGACTCCATCGGCATATTTATCCGAGACAGGTCAGCACTCGTTTGAACTCAGGCGGTAATGTAGGCTTTGCTTTTTTGCACTGAATAGAACGTGTTTAATGTTCCGAAACGCGTTTTTTATGCTAATCCCCCCCCCTAACCCTGTCTGAAAACACGTAAATGCAATCGCCTTGTGTGCTCATGCGTCGCTTGGCGAAAATTCTCCTGGAAACAATGCATCCTCTGGGCCTAGTTTGTTATGCTGGCGAGTGTTTTGGTGCAATTAGTTGTGTTCCTCGCGCTATCGGTGTTGTGACTGTCTGTACCGTAAATCTTCTGTTGCCGGCATCATGTTATTGCCAAAAGCAAGCATTCCTTGTGCATGCAACCTTTACGCAGATGTCTACCCCTCTACGACTGTTTCTGATCTCTAGCATTTAAGTTAGCGATCATATGACCCGACCAATCATTTTTAAGAAGCTGATTTTTTAACCCAAGTCCATGTCATCGATCGGAAAATTTGTCGGTTGAGTGTCGACCTGATCGCACACGTCTTAAAACTGCGTGCAAGAGGAAGTTTCTCTATCTGCACTCGGATCAGGTCTGTAGACAGATTTGGCTTAAACCCTGTTCTCGAGCAAGATTTTTGTAGACTGCGCTGGCACATAAGTACCGAGTATAATCGATTCAGGGAGTTGTTGATTGCCTAATTCGCCGTTTCCGCGTATTCGCATGGTCTAAAATGATAGGGCGTTAGCAGTCAAGCCGTGTTGCAGTTTGGTTGATAGCTCAAATCCAGCCTGACATCTCGCTGCCTAGCTTGTCGTTAAATCTCATCCTCTCGCGTTGTGATTGGTCGGTTTGTAATGCAGTTTCCTGCCGCTCACCATGTGATGTGTCATGGCACATGAGACGTTGGATTCAACGTTGATCGGTAATTTTGCTGCCAGACGCAGTCATGCACTTGAGGAGGAGCACGTGTATTTTTTTTCCTCATTCGAATTCCACCCAGACGCACACACAAAAACACGAGACTAAGCGTGCAGCAATTAATGCGAAGTTGTGTGTGTGTGTGTGTCTGGAGGCAGCAACGCCGGAGACACGTGCCAACGCGCTTAAGACAAAACAAGTTTATGGGAAAGCCTTGGCAAAAAGGATCGACCCACTTCGCCAGGACCACCCAAGGTTGATGCCGGGCAAAATCATTTCCGATTAGCTGAATTTTGCTCAATGACAGCCTGAAAATAGGTGAGATCTGTGCCTCATTGCGATTCGTCCACTCAATCTGAAGACCAAATTTTCCAACATTGTATCAGGATGTTGAACTTCCCAAAACTGTGGAACACTACTATTCCAAAATCCAGAGATTTATTGCACGTCTCGCAAAACACCATCACTCGCTCCTGTATCGCAGTAACATGGGTGATTGAAGCCAGATTTCGGTGTCAGGTTGATAGTGATATGGTTCGTTTTTGGTTGGACTCGTTCTAGGTCTTGAGGAGCTTCGAGTTATGCTGTAGTCTCAAGTAACCACGCATATCGCAGGATTTTGTTCGAATTTTAATGAAATCACGTCAAGAAGCCGGGAACGGTTCTGGATAATGTCAACCATCACGCTATCGTGACCTTCAGAAGGTGTCAAAGCTCCCAATTAGCGTTTCGCGGAGCAGCGTTTTCCTTGATTTGAGTGTGTGTGTGTGTGTTCGAAGTAGACGTTCTCCTTGCTGTTGTTTTCACGCCATCTTTAAACAATCGTCCCTCCTCGAAAGACCTCGACGTTTTGTGTACGTTCGGTGTGGTCAGTGTTGCGGTGGTGGCGACCAAACACTAACAGACCCTCGCGCGCACAGGTTGCGACTTGGGTCAGATTCTGGTTCTATCGCACATTTTGGAACGGCAAAAACTGACTTTCTGATTCCCCAAAATAACTGGCCCTGCACAGCGCACGTTGTACGGTGGTTTCTCTGCATTTTTACTTTACCACTGCCGCAACGCTGTTCTGAACGCCATTGAAGGTGATGCGGAATCACTTTTGGACTAGGGCCGAATTCACTGATTCAAACAGGCTCACGTGTATTTCGCACGCCCTGCAAACAAGAATTTTAAAAGTGAACCTGGTTGACGTGTTTACGAAAACCATCCCCGTGTCTTCCTATTTACAAATATTCGAACGAAGAGTTGTTGGCGCGTGTTGAAAATGCATAACTTAAAGAGAATACGCCACCACACTTAGCAGAAAGTTGACGTGCATGAAACAGGCACCACGGTGTGGCAGCCATCTGCCGCATGGTTGCCAAATTCATCTAATCTTCTGCGCACACAGTGTCTACGTGTGGTTTGGGTACGGAGGGTATTTGGCTGGTGAAGTTGCTGCTTACGGAGTTGATCGCATCTTGACGGAACAGCCTCCTCATGACCTTGTCCGGTGACTCACCGTTCGTGAAATGCAGGAATAGAAGGGCAGCGATTTGCGTTTTCAATTTCCTCCGTGAAAATTTGCCACCTTTCTGACAACTTACCGGCAAAAAAATCACACCAGGTGCTACTTCAAGTCTCTCCATTGCGGGCGATTTTCGATCTGGTTTGTACAGGTTCATGTTTTTCGGGTCGTGGCCGTTTTTAGTTGCTGTTGTTGTTGCAGAATGATTTCGTTACGTTGGAGACTTCCATTGCAGATATGTGCATATTTGAGACGGAGGCAGCTTGCGTGTTCGTGTTACATTCAATCTCTCGGCAGCTTCTTGCCCAGCCACGCTCACCCGTCATTTTGCTTTTCTGTGTGTGTGTGTTCACATGTCATAGGTCAAGTACGTGCCGTGAAATGTTAACCTTTGGTTCGGAATTACCACTGGATACACCTAATCCGCGATCGCGGGGCGAGGGTGTGCGTAGATTTTCAAGCTGTTCTGTATAACTAAGGGCCTCACACACGGTTCTAGCCCACCTCGTTTTGTGCAAATCTAGCCCTTCTTGATA